ACATTCTCCAGATCACTAGCCTGGCATCATGCCTTTAGACCACCGAGCTTGCACCTGATGGCCAGGGTTGAATTCGAGCCAAAGTAAGCAGCGAGTACTATTTTTGCAAGCGTTTTCACATGTACTGAATATTCAGTACATTTTCACGACGGGTTGGACACAATTCCACCTATATGTTCTATTGATGTTTTCAATATTATAATATATCATAGATTCATGAAATGCTTAATAGGCCCTAAACGATAACATGACTTGACCATAGTTTGTTATCAATACCGTATTCTTTAATTTTTTAAACAAAATATTTTTTAGATATTTCTGAGCGTTACCCCACTAGAGGCTCTGTCTCTATGTCCGATCAGGTGCATTTTTACCAATTTTACATAGGGCCCGGCAGTTATCTATGCCATAGTCACCAACCGTCACACATCACTTCAAATTGATATTGGATGAAACGCATTTTGCAGAAACACATGCGAGGTCATAAATGTGTCACGCATTTAGCACTTGCGTGATAAGGAATTATCACAAAATCAGGGGAAAACGTATTTGAAATTATAAGAAATTGGTTTTATTAAAAATATAAAAACGGTATACAGTAGCTTGAGTCATTAGGGAGCTTTCTTTATCTCGTTCGAGAATCAATTCACAGAGAAAATTTCTCCTTTCCGACCAAAACAACCCAGCCAACCACGCACTTGTAGAATCTAGTAGTCGCGAGCAGTCTTGCGAGTTTATTGTTACAACCAACCGTTTAACCCGAACTTCCGCAGGGGTTCCGTAATAATATTGTATACACTCGCGTAGGTCCTATAAGTTGACCCGTGTATAAGACGACCCCCGAGTTTTAGAAAATTTTTGGTTGATATTTGTATGTCTGGCGTATAAGACGACTCCCTGTTTCATGGTCGAAATTCCTAATTTTTTGTGGTCCTGTGTACTGCGTCTAGCTGGATAAATGGAGCCAAATGCAAGGGTAATCTTCCAAATAATACCATTTTAAGAGTTTTTAAATCTTCACCACCAAAATCGTATTTTCCCATATTTAAAATTGCTTTCATTGATACAACATTTAGTTACTTCATTGCAGTAGTAAGCTAGCGTGTTAAGCTGTTTTTTCACTAAGCGAACTTATTCGCGCGAATCAAAGAGTCGGCTCGCTTCCTAAGCTCTGATTGGTCGCGCATTTTTTCGCTTCTCAAAAACTCCGATAGGAATGTGAATGCGCATGTGCATAAGCCGACGCTTTGGATTCGCGCGAATAAATTCGCCTA